GCTGTTCGCAGCTCCCAGCAAGTGCCCTGAGGCTTCTCCTTGGGTCTCTGGTCCCCACTTGAGCCTCAAGGGCTCCTCAAGAGCAAAGGATTGTGTCACTTCCCTTCCCTTTCCCTGAACTCCCTCTCGGGTCCTGCCGCTGTTGTTACGGGGGCTCCCTCCATGTCACCGCCTCTGAGAAGCCTTCCCTGGCACCCCCAAACAGAGGGACCATTACAGCACTTCCAGGTTAGTGCCATTCATCAGGGGGCACGTACACCAAGAGGGTAAGAGCAAAGCCTTTGAAGTCTGGCAAACTGGAGTTTAAAACTCCTAGATCTCTCACTGTTGTGCTCTTTCTGACACCCTGTTCCCTCACCTAAAAAGAGGAGAATAATGATAAAAAGCAGGCTGGATGTGGTGGCTCACACCTGTAATCCCAGGACTTTTGGAGGCCGAGGCGGGCAAATCGCTTGAGATCAGGCATTCAAGACCAGCCTGACCAACATGGTGGAATGCCACCTCTACTGAAAATACAAAAAATTAGCCAGGCATGGTGGCGGGTGCCTGTAATCCCAGCTACTCAGGAGGCTGAGGCAGGAGAATCACTTGAACCACTGCACACCAGCCTAGGCAACAGAGCGAGACTCCGTCACAAAAAAAGGAAAAGAAATTCAAAGCAAATATGTATATACAGGTGTATATATGGGGGTGTGTGTGTGTGTATATAGATAAGAAAATATATATATAAAAAACAAGCTAGCACAGGTCCCTGCACACTGTAAGTATTCTGTGCATTGCTTTTGCCATCATTATTACTATTGTACTGCTACTACTATTATAATTGTCATTATTGCTGTCTCTGAGTTACCTGAGGGCCAAAAACAACTTTGACTTAGGGCCACGTAGTGTCTAACATGGTCCCTGATGGTCTCTGTCTCCCGGTCTCCACGCCCTTGTGTAAACCCCTCCCCTGCAGCGTGGGTGGAACCTGGGACTTGCTCCTAATCCACAGAATATGGCAAAGGCAATGGGATGTCACTTCCTTCTTCAGGTCACAAAAGATTGTGACTTCCATCCTGTTGGCCGACCCTCTCTCCAACCTTCTCAGCTTGCATATTCCATGAAACAAGCTGCCATATTGGCAAGGACCACATGGCAAGGAATTGAGAGCATCCTCTGGCCAGCAGCAAGCTAGGAACCGAGGCCCGCAGTCCAACAACCCTCGAGGGACTGAATTCTGCCAACAGGCTTGTGAACTTGGATGTGGATCCTTCCCCAAGTGAGCCTTCAGAGGAGATGCCAACCCTGGCCAAAACTTTGGTTACAGCCTGTGAGCGATTCTAAAGCAAAGGAGCTGGCTAAGTTTTGTGCCCTGACTCTGGCCCACAGAAACTGAGATAATAAAAGAGTATTGTTTTGAACCATGATGTATTATGCATTTGTGACACAGAAATAGATAGCCAACACGTCCTCTCCGTCTTCCTAGCTCAGCACTTGGCATACGGAGTGGAAGTCAAGTGCCAGTTGAGTGTATGAATGAATGAATGACGATGGTTTCAGGTAAACTCATCAGGACCTAAGAAAGGCCTAGACAGGGTAGATCCAAAGAGAGAGCTCTTTCCCAGCACGCACTGCCTGTATCTTGTGTCTTCTCTCCCTCTCTTATAACTCTAGGTCCCCCCTCCCTTCTTTAGTCCTCAGGACCTTGCTCTCCTCCTGGTTCCTGCATTTAGTCATTCTCTCTGAATTTTTATTTTCCTCCTTAAAAAAAAAAAAAAAATCCAGGTCTCTCTAAAATATCTGACCCTGGTGAATTGGAATAATTTTTGATGGAAAGCAGTCTTGTCCAGAAAGGCTCTTACCCACCCTGCTCAGGAATGTGGTTGCTACAGATATTAAAACAGACCTGCAGGCATCTGCAGTGAGAGGGGAGCTCGTGCCAGCAATGACCTCAGCCTGCACAGCAGGCTCTTACCTAGGAAAAGCTGCTGTGTGGAGCTGGATCACAATAGAGCCCTTCCTTCTCCAAACTCTTCCCCTTCCAGTTATCCCAGGCTGCAACCCCTAGTTTAATGCCTGAGACACACTTTTCCACCCAAGCCTGGGACCAAAAGTCAAGGGCGGTGCCACCAGGCTTGCAAGAGAGGATGCTGTGGGTTTCACTGTCCCTTCACATTTAAGTGGCTTTGGCCGAAGAATGTGGGCCTCACTCTGCCAGCCCCCTTTCCTCTCCTCTTCTCCTGACTCTATGCCTCCCACTCTTGGCAGCTCCAAGGGATCCTGCTCAGGCTGAGAGGTATCAGGCTTCATTTCTTCTGCAAGAGGCACCTTCCCAGGGAAGGCCAGAAGTCTTAGGGTGGAAACCGGAGCCTGGGACCCTGCATGGTAAGGCTCCCCACTGTGTGGCTGAGCTTGTATTTGGGCTTGGATCTTGCTCTGCTTAATTCAGCTCCCATTGTTGAATCTGAACCTGGCTAAGGCTAAGTAGAAACTTGTGTCAATTTTTGGACTTCCCTCTTCCATTGGGAAACTCAGAGAACTAGGAATATCCCAGGTATAATCTACTCCAGCCTCCAAACTCAGCAACCTATGCCTGATAACCACAGTAATTACCACAACAGCTAACGTTTGCCTAACATATTCTTGTATGAAAAGTACTTTTACACATGCTATTTTTCATAAGAATTCTACAATGTTTTTAGCCCCATTTAACAAAGGAATAAACTGTGGCACAGAGATAGTAAGTGGAATTTTCCCAGTTATGTGGTGAGCAAGCAGTAGAAGGGGAACCGACACCAGGGCCTGTTGACGCATAAACAGTCCAGTCTTCTTTCCAAGACTGCCCACTCTCCCAAATCTGTAAGGCTCATTTTCCTCTAACTTTGCATTTCATTTATATGTTGATCACTTTGTGCTCACATTATATTGTCCAATTCCTGCTCCTTCCGCCATTCCCCCACGCCAGCCTCTGGAGCACTGGGCCAAGCAGCTTTATGCAGATCAGCAATGGATTGACCACTGGCCTTCAAGTCTGGAGATCCAGGTTTTAAGTTCTGGCTCTGCCACTGATGAGGGGTGTGACTTTGAGGCGGTTACCTCAGTTTTCCAAGATGAAGGTGATAAATTCCGTGATCATTGGAGTCACTTTTAGCCCTAGAACTATGATCCTTTTATGTAATTCCTGGTTGGGCTCCCTCTTGGGGAGGAACAATTTTCCAAGTCAATGGGAAATTCACTCTTGCACTATGAATGCCATCCGGAGCTTGGGCGCTGAGAAGGGTGAGAATTTAGCTAACTGCTCCAGAGATGATAGGAGGTCCCTGTCCCCACCTCTGCCTGAATAGGTCCCTTCATTCCTGGCTTCTTTAATCTGTCCTTCTGCAACACGCTGTGACCTCTTTTGGGTAGGATTATAAGCTCCCAAAGGCCTCGGGTCTTGATCATCTTTGACCAGTGATTATTGCCCAACCCAGTACCAGACAGGCTGGCACTTCCCTGATCTCCTCAGGATGTCTGTGAGCCCAGGCTGAAGGTTATTCACAATCCCCAGTGCTAGGGAGACCCAGGGCCCCCTCCCCACAGCTGCTCCCGGCTGTCTGGCTGAACAATGCTGATCCTGTCAGGTCTCTCGGCTGAGCCTTCCTGCCGTGGGTATTCGGGTTGCAGTATTAACTGGAGGCATCTCAGCTGCTTCCTGTTCCTTGAGTCTCAACACAGATTCCTGCGCAAAGACAATCAGCCTGGCTCTGCATTGACCAGAGCCCCCAGCAGTTGGGGTTGGGGCAGGAAAGATGAAAGAGCTTTGCCATCATCTCAGAGCAAGGAGTCAAACCTCCTCGGCCGGAAGGGACCCCAGGCACCAAGTGCCCCTTGGACACTGCTCCCAGACATGTCAGCCAGGCACAGGGATGGGATTGTAGCTCAGCTCTCAATCTTTGGGAAGGTAACTCTGCAGCCTCCTAGGTCACTTCTGTAAGGACAAAAATCTGTTAACAACTCTGCTCTCTGCAGCCAAACCACTTGTACAAACTACTGGTATTATTTGTACCAGTGTGAACTCCCCACCTCAGCAAGGCGCAGCCTCCTGCCTGTCTCCCCTGCTCACTGTCCTCTCCATTATGAAGCAAGTGCTGTCCCCACACTCATATGTCCTTCCTCATTTCCACCGCCACTCCAGTCTTTTGTTGGCATCACACCTCTGCTATGAGACTTATTGTCTCCTAAAACTGCTGTGACTGATGCCATGAGACTCTAGCTAGGCTATGCATTCTCATTTGCTTTTCTTCCAGATTTCTTTTCTCTTTTGAGACAGAGTCTCGATTTGTCATCCAGGCTGGAGAGCAATGATGTGATCTATGCTCAATGCAACCTCTACCTCCTAGGATCAAGCGATTCTCATGCCTCAGCCTCCCAAATTGAGTAGCTGGGACTACAGGTGTGTGCCACCATGCCCTGCTATTTTTAGGAGAGACAAGGTTTCGCTGTGTTGACCAGCCTGGTCTCAAACTCCTGGCCTCAAGAGATCCACCTGCCTCGGCCTCCCAAAGTGCTGGGATTACAGGCATGAGCCACCGTGCCTGGCCTTTTCCCAGATTTCTAAATACTAAGTGCTTACCTGACAATTTTTGCCTATGTAGTGACCTTTGTATATT